TTGACTGAAGATTTTCGAGATTTCCTCATTGCCTCTAGCCTGGCCCAATACCAATATATTATCTAGACATAATCGCGTCCTTCCCAGTTCACCGCAAATAATTTAAATAAAGCTCTTACAGACAGTTAACAACAGGTACAACCACAAGTGTAAAGTATGATGTACCTACCTGCAAGACGGTTCACAAAAAAGTGTAAGAGTCTGAGAATTTAATTTAATTTGTAGCATAAAAGAGATACTTCTTTTGGCTGATTCTGGACTTCATCCATCGTCTGGTATGTAAAAGACAAAAGACCACGACGTTTCGGAGACTGGATCTGTCTCCGTCTTCAGGTGGGTAGGGAAGGATAAACCTACTCAGTTGGGCCCGTTAGAAAGAGCTAGTCTCAATCAGTGATTTAGACTATATCTTTCTAACGGGCCCAACTGAGTAGGTTTATCCTTCCCTACCCACCTGAAGACGGAGACACTTCCAGTCTCCGAAACGTCGTGGTCTTTTGTCTTTTACATACCAGACGATGGATGAAGTCCAAAATAAGCCAAAAGAAGTACAGTATACACCATCGTCAGAATCCTCTCAAGTCTATAAAAAGAGATACCTCTCAAGATGACACTGTAGATATAAAAACATGTCATGTAAACAGCCCACGTAAATGTGTTGTTATTGACATTATATGATGAGGGATAATAAACAGGGCGTTCATTGTTAATGAGCACGCGAACGGTAATTAAATCCTTTGTTCTTTGCGTTACTGTCCACCACAGCAATACGGGCTGCTGTTGTGTGTCTGCAGAGGGTCCAGTGTTCCGCATCGAACTCGAGATTCTACCAGCCTCTGTACTAAAAAAGCTTTGTTCGGGAGAATTAAAATATTGAATGTCCTCAGAGACAAAATCCGTGGTTGACGTAGGACTGTTTATAGGAATGCTCTGATAACGCTGCTTCTGTTAAATTAACATGTATCATTGCCTTCCAATTTCTGTGAGACATAGTCCGAAGTCCACAATTAGATTAAGCTCTGGCTGCGTTTCGGAGTGTCTCAACTCTTGTATTGCCGACACGGAAGGAGTTCCTGGTCGATCCTCCACCATTTCGGAGTACGAAAAGCCTCTGTTGGTAGGGGGCTGTGTCTGACGGGAATATAAACATTCTATATCCTAAAGACTAAAATCAACATTTGAATGGAGCATGCAGTTTTCTGCGTGTACTGGCTCAGCAAGCGTTGACATTTTCCATAAATGACTGATAGGATGTTGTTAAAATCACTGTTGATCCATATCTATTGTGAAGTCATCAGAACAGTTTAGTGCTTAAAAGCGAAGTAACCCCTATGCTTAATTAGTTAAGCACTACAGCATGAATACATATGGGCGAGTGGAGGTATAGCTCCACCATTCTTGACCTAGACACTAGATGGAAGTGAGTGGGCAGCGTCACGCACTTGCCGCTTTACCCAGGGGTAGGAGACCCGGTGGGTCCTAGGATCGGTCTGAACGCTGTGGAGAAGAGAAAAATCTTGCAGTGCCAGAAATCGTGTCCAGCCCGTAGCCTGTCTCAGAACCAGCCGGACCTCGTATGCTCAGTTTATCTTTAAGGTCTAAACGTTCCAGGCATCCGTAAATATGCGACTTTTGACAAGTTTACCAGTACCCATCAATTATCTGCCAATAAGAATCTGTGCCCCTGTCGGGAGACGAATCCCGGTTGTCTTAGTTCACACATAAGAATCTGGGAGGAAGAATTTGCAGCCGACATTGAAGTACTGCAACCGTTCCACTGCTACGCAATTTTTTTTATGTAATCAACTTTATAAATTTGAAAGCTTAATTGTTAAAATGAATGCAGTGAACAAGGGTAGTGAGACATGGTCAATTCTTGTATGTAAGAGAAAGCGATTTCTCAAGCTTACAACAAGAGACAGGAAGACACCCTTCAAAGGTTTATTAGTGAGAGCTGCGTTAAAGAATAGAGTAAAGAAATCCTTTGTAAATTCATACTTGGCAGTTTGTACATGCCATAATTTAAAAAGAGTGAAGTTTTTAGGGCCCAAGCGACGCGTAAGCATTTGTCACTTTCTGACAGAAATACGTTGGAGTCAAAAATCCTTAAACGCTTGTAAGCTTTAAGCGGAGTGGAGGAATATCTAATTAAGATACTCCTATTTTTCAAAATTAGCCAATCACTAAAATTTAAGGGTGTGACAGAGCAGTGACGCTGGTGAAAGCAGGAATTGAAGGTTTGAGGAAGCGTCATGTTTTAGCATCAGTCTGCAAACGGGAGGTGAAAGAAATAGACGTAAATTCTGAAACCAAGGGTCGTGAGAAATAGACGTAAAATCTGCAAACGGGAGTAGGAAGAATCAGACGTAAAGTCTGCAAACGAGGGTTGTTAGAATCAGACGTAAAGTCTGCAAACGGGAGGTGAAAGAAACAGACGTAAAGTCTGCAAACGAGGGTTGTTAGAATCAGACGTAAATTCGGAAACCGGGAGGTGATAGAAACAGATGTAAGCTCAGAAACAGCTAACATAAAGGTTACTGACATTGAAACTGTATCAAAAGTGATTAACAAGTGTTCAATATAATTCGTCCAAAATTGAGATGTGCTTGTGATTTGTGGTGTTAATTTATTCCTTTCGGAGTTGTGGCCCGTTCAAGGCTCTGAGATAAGAAGTACTCAGCTCTACCAAAACAACAAAACCCCCTCCTATTAAATTAACCCTGAGATATTTAGCAACAAGAAAGAAGAACCTACTAGAAGTGGCGACCCAGCGTGTGAGAAAGAAGAAGGAAAAGGTAGGAGGTGGAGAAAAGGGCGGTAAGAGAGAAGTGGCGCCCAAAGTGTAAGCAAGCAAGAAGGAGGAGGAAAAGGGCGGTAAGAGTACAGTTGTGATAAGAATCACTGTTCTAGGACACAAGTCCATAAAAATATTCAACCGCCCTGTATTTGTCACTCCATCAGTCATGACGTAAAACGCGAAGGCAGATGTGATTATTTTTTGTTGTTGTGAATCTTACTGATTCGAGGAGACTTCAAGTTCACTGCCGCAGCAAAGGGCATGTGAATAACATCCCGATAAGACTTCGTAACCGGGTTCATCTTCCTCATCAACTCTGACTAAACAGTCAGAGTCACACTTCTGGATGCCTAGCCCCTTAGTATTTGTTGTTGTTCTGTGAATGAATGTGAGCTGGGCTGCCCGCGGTTCTCTTGCGACTTGACTGTTCGAGGTGAAATTCTTTACCGTTGCGTCCGGAGTAGGTAGGCCCTTCCAGCCTACCTAATTGCTGCTGCTTCGCGGCATGGAATTTTATTTCTACATTTTGTCCTAGATAAACCGTCGCCGAAATAAAAGTTACAGTTATAGCCCAGTTACAGGGAGAGGATTTCCTGCCTTTGCAACCATCAGGTCCCACAGGCCCGGCGGGTAGCCTACATGGCTGGCAAGTAAGGCAGAACTCGTTAGCTATGGTACGGAAGGAAACGCTGAATAAATACCCAGACCCTCAAGATAAGGAGTTTTGCGACAGGGGGTTAGCCTGCTGAAGTAAAGAGTAACTTGTAATTCTCAGGGATGCCTCATGTGTGAGGATGGAACGGGCTAACAAGCTTACAGATGATAATGAGGAATATTTAGGAAATTACTAAACTCACTTATTAATAAATTGGTGTCCTCCAAATGGATGTTCTATGAAGACATAAGAGTATCCACATTTTGGAGTGCCAGATGATTACAAATGCGACCAGTCTGCAGAAAAATGGAATTTGGCAAGAATGAAAGCGCAGAGATGAATATGAAATGTTATACACATATATGAAAACTTGTTTTGGTCAAGGGCATCAAATATATATTGGTATGCTAGTTAGCCAAGGAATATTAAGGATAAAAATACACACGCGCGCAGTAAGTTATCGAGCACATGTAAGGCCACGCCATAGCTCAGGCGATTAGTATCCGTCTTTCAAACACGGCGGCCCGGGTTCGATCCTAGGTGAAGTCATGTGAGATTTGTGGCGGAAAAAAAAAATGGCAGTGAGGCCGGTTTTCTCAGAGTGCTTTGAAAATATTAAGAATACTATAAACTGTAACTGTTCCATTAATTTACAAGTAAAAGTAAAGGTATCACTGTAACAGGCCATGAAGGCCCATAGGGTTGTGAGATGTCGAGGCTCCCACATTTTCTAAACAGTTGGCTCTTAGATGGCGGTAACGTTGTCAGCCTTACGCACCAGCCACCCTTTACCCCCAAGAATATTTCTGGTACTCATGTACTCATTATTTTTATTATATTTGAATGTGATGGACAGAGTAAGGATAAGAAATAAAAACAAATGACATGCATAGCAGAAAAAAACTGCGTTCATCTTGGTGAGCCTCCACACACATATGCAAAGTAGACTGCAATTTGAATAATGCAGCCACCACATACCTCAATATATATCATCTCGTGGAAACAGACCATCAAATGCAACTTGCATAATACTTCAATTGGCTAACAAAAATGCATGCTTACGATTGTCTGAAGTAAATAAATACAACAATACTAATTTTATCAACGCACGTTAGTCCTCCCAAGCCTATGGATGTAAAGAAATTGATTGCAAATCTTGTATTCTTGGGATCATCTCGTGGAAACGGTATGCTCCATACTCATCTAACATAGGGTGCTGGTAGAATAGGTAAGTTATCTGACCGACATAGCAAGTGGATTCAGTCTCACTCCACCCCACGAAACTAAAAAGAAAGAGACTATCTAGTACATGTGCATCACGGTATGGAAGGATACAAAGGTCGCTCTGTCAACATTTCCTTCCGAGTTTGCTAGGTCACGGTCGCCTGTTTACTGCAGATGTTGACCGGTGACACAAGAACATTGTAACCGAGCCACAGAGCCCTAATAAAGTATTACAAGAACGCGACACGATTACCATCACCTAAATATGTTCATCCGATGAACGCGTGGCCTGATAATAATTACATCTCTTATTATGCATTACAGGGTTTCGATTGCTACCAGCGGGTGATGGCCGAGTCCTGATGCAGACCAGTGTACTGCTCGAGCTGGACTGTCCAGACCTCTGCATGAAGACCGTGGCAGCTGAGTGACGATGTTGTTTTTCAAGACGGAAGAAAACGGTAGTATCCGAGAGCAACTGTTTCTGCTTACGCAAGACTTACTCATTTCAGTATAAAGAGCTTAGATACTATTACTCTTGTCGTGTTTGAAAGTGTTTATATTCTCAGCAGATAAATATGTGTGAATGATTTAAGTGTTAAGTGGTTTTATGCCAGTACTGAATGCAACATAATAATCAAGGGGACTAAACTGAAACTACTGTCATATCAATATGTAATATTGATCATCAAAGTGTTATTAATTACAGGTTTACTATTGTTTGAGATTCTGAAACAGAACTACCTGTTTATTGTGTTTCTGGTGAACTACAGTGACTAAAATAACAGAGTTCAAGAAACTGGTTTGCAAAAACAGTATATTCCGGTAAAGCGTAGTGTAATATACTCGGCAAGTGGGTGTAATACCACGTGACACAGAGGTTCTCCGAACTGGCCAGCAGTCTTACGCTCTCTGTTCGTACGAGTATATATATACACGCACTGTCAGTCTCTTGCGAATCGTGTTGTGTGATGGGCGGTATGGGTGCTTACCAACTCCGACAGCGTCAACCCCAACGCGAGAAAATTCTCATGTGATGTTGCCGGTTCTAAATTACAGCATGGATGTGCAGATGCCCACATTACTTCATTTTGACGTGACAGTTTAAATATTTATATTTTCATTCGATTTTACAAGAAAAAAATTTAGTCGAAGTTTCACACAAGTGTAAACTCACTCATTCACTTACAAAGCAGGCATCACGACTTGTTAAAACGACCTGCTGTTAAATCACGGAATTTAAACACTGCACGTCTTGGGACTTTTTTAAAATTTTCAAGCTTTTCGCCTCTTTTGCATTTTTTGTTCTTTAAAAACTCGCTCAAATACCAGGGTCGATTGTGGTTGATTATCTAACTCTGTTTGTTTCATTGTTTGAATTTTAACTATATATTATCTGAGCCTACATGAATTATGCCCTACGTCACTGGAAATATGTGAGCGATGTTGGGTCCGCATTACAAGAACACTTCGGGAGCCCGTGTGTTGCAGAACACTTCGAATCTAAGTTGACGAGTGTACCTATTTACTGTGAGTGCCATTAAGAACCTCTCTGTTTCTAAAACCTATTAAGAGTTACGATCGGAGACTTACTCTGAATTTAGTGTACGAATATCATCAGCAAACATGAAGCAAGGTTCTCAAAGTACGAAGACGCCGTGCTGTTTAAAAACTCCATCCATGGTGTCAATGGAGCACAGACTCCAAGAGACAACACTGTCCAATCTGAGCAAGATCAGCAGTGCCGAGAGGGTTACTGTGAACCCTCAGCAGCCGATAAACAACAACAACAAGTTCCATACTTTGAACAACCAGAAAATTCAACGCCGGTTCCCGAGAAAGCTGGCTGTTGACATCCAGTTCACCGACATATACTACAGAACTCGAGTGTGGTCGCTGCAGCAACTAAAGCCATGTGAGTAAGGACTAGATATTTAATATCCTGTAGTTTCTAAACTCGGATCGTTGTAGGCTATACTCGACGTTGCAGAGACACCACGAATAAAAAATAATGTAAGGTCCAACTTACCTAATCTCATAACATGTCACCGAATTACGATTTTAAGTTTATTCGACGGAAGTAAGGTATTCTGGCCTAATTACTTTGCAGGGTAGTTCCTATGTTTATATTTTACAGGATAATGGTAATTGTATGCAGGCTGCCACCTACCTTAAAAAATTATAAGCTAGACATTCGTTGTGCATTTCAGTTTTGTACCCAGATGCGTAACATTTTTCAGCCGACTGACCTTGGCAGTGAACATGCCTTTCCGATATCTGAGATGAATTTGTAACTACGATATTATTCAGATAAGATTATGATGAACTACAGAATTGATTACGAACACTTCAAACAATTGAGCCAGTCTATCAAGGACACTTTGAAACGATAACCGTGTTAGAATTATTAAAAATTTAGGCGGATGTCAGTAAGCAGTTGTGGAAATCAGCCGACGTTTTTGGATTCTGGAACTCTCGGACCGGATGTTGAAAATTAGTTCCCAGTCAAAGTAGATCTGCCTGTTCAGTAACTCAGATTGTATCGAATGACTGATTGATGGGGAAAGAAAACGACTGCGGCCTAATTTAAGGTACTCATACTATACCTGAATTTACCTATAGGGACCAAGGAAAACCACGAAAACCCTAAAGTCAGGACAGTGGATGCCCTGGCCAAGATTCGAACGGAGTACCTACAGAATGAAAGAAGCATTAGGTAGGCCGCACAACGGCATGCGTCAAGACATGTACAGTCAAGACACGATATCTGTGACATGACGCAAAGAAAGGAGCACAGTTGAAACGAATGAGAGTATGAAAACCGCCGCACACCGCTCTGAGTCATGATGCTGACGAATCATGAATGAAGCAAGACTGCATCTTTTGTCTCATGTCTTGATTCTTGTCTTGACGCAGTTGGTTTGCGTCCGCCCTTACAGCTTAAGACAACGTGGTCGGCTCATAGAAAGTGAGGCATGAAGCTGGAACGTCATAGGTCTGCAGTTCAGATGCTCTCCTAAAATGTTCCTCATAAGCTTTCAAGGTATAAGACCAGGTGATAAATAACGTCCGCTCAGTTTTCGACTTAGCCAAATTCGCAATTCGTAGTAATCTTACAGCACGTTCAACTCAAATCACAGGATTAACGCAATTTGAATGTAATCTTTTTTGAAGAAAGCAGTCTTCTGGGATTTGGCACCGTGTATATGTGGTGTTAACCGACGTTTCGGAGGAACGTATCGCCCCCATCTTCAGGGTAGAAGAAAAAGTATAAGAAATCTGCAAGCGACAACACCGTGAGAAACGGTAAAGCAGAGTCTGCTTTACCGTTTCTCACGGTGTTGTCGCTTGCAGATTTCTTATACTTTTTCTTCTACCCTGAAGATGGGGGCGATACGTTCCTCCGAAACGTCGGTTAACACCACATATACACGGTGCCAAATCCCAGAAGACTGCTTTCTTCATAGTCACCGCCGTGAAAGCCTCAAATCTTACGTAATCTTTTTTCTTTCTTGAACGTAATCGTTACAGATGGACGATCCCGTACGTCTCACTGGGTCACAAACTTATTTTCGTATCTTTTCCTTCTTTCCTTCTACTTCTTAATCCTATTTAATATTTTAATCTCTTTCGTTCTCTCTTTCTTTTTATTTTCTACCTCAGTCTTCCTCCAGCTTCTTACTCTTCTCACCTTCTCTCTCAATCCTCCATTTTCTCCTCGTGCCCCTCTCTTTCAATCTCCATAATAATTACTACAGGGAGGTCCGAAAAATGTACTCACTCTTTGATAGTATCTTTGGAACAAAATGACATGTAGTTACAATTCTTGCGCGGTAGTGTAGTGTAATGTTTTCTCAACAGATGGCGACGGTCATATGAGTCACGTGAGTGTCGTGCCGCGTGCGCGCTGCCAGCAGAAGACAGCAGCAACAATGGCTGAAAGGTTGTTATTTGAGCAACGCAGGGCTGTATTGAAGTGGTGCTGGAAGTACGAAAACATTAAAGAGGTACAACGACAATGGCAGAATGAGTTTGGAACTCAGCCACCAACACGTCAACGATTGCCCGTATTCGGGATAAATTTGAAGCCGACGGTACTGTTCATGATGTGCATAAGCAAAGATCTGGGCGACCACGGACAGTAACAAGTCCAGCTTCCAGTGATGTGGTGTTGCAACACTTTACACGATCACCGCAACTGGTCAGGTGTATCACAATATGCTTCAGATATCGATTTTCCCTGCCGTTCGAGAGCTGTTTGGAGATGAGAGATGTGACCTACAACAAGATGGTGCTCCACCTCACTACCATCGAGATGTCAGGGCGTACTTAGATGACACTCTACATGGACGATGGATAGCTCGAAGAGGTGCTATTGAGTGCCCACCACGGTCTCCAGACCTAACGCCTCTCGACTTCTACCTATGGGGAACCTTGAAGGATGAAGTTTATCGACAAAAACCAGCCACACTGAACGCGCTACGAGAAACCATCGAAGCGTCGTGTGCAGCCATCACACCGGACGCCCTGACAGCCGTGGTTCGCTCAGCAGTTCGAGGGCATCGACGCTGTTTAGCCGCTGATGGTGGTCAATTTGAACACATACAATGACTCTCTCTCTCCGCGCAAGAATTGTAGCTACATGTCATTTTATTCCAAAGATATTAACTATCAAAGAGTGAGTACATTTTTTTTATCCGTCTGTATACTGATAATTTTCCTTCTTGTTTCCATCTTCCCGTTCTTAGACACTTCTTTGTTTCCTCTCCTCTCTTTCTTCATCTATGACATGACCCGCACAATTGCGCGTTCAAGGTCTGAAAGGATTAAGCATACAAACTCTTAACCTTACTGCAGAATTATCACGTGAACCGGGTTAGTGTAGTCGGTGTAGCAACTGGTTACTGGCTCCGACGGGTCGGCGTTCGAGTCGTAATAGGGTCAAGAATTTTCTCTTCACGTCGTCCAAACCGGCTCTGGGGTCCGCCCCACCTCCTATCCAATGGATACCAGCGGCTCTTTCCCCGGTGGTAAGAGAGCAGGGTCGTGAAGCTGACCACTCACCTCCTGCTAGTGCCGAGGTCAAGAAAATGTGGATCCACTACCCAATACGCCTTCATGGTGTACTTGTTAATTAACTAAGCACAGGGACAACTTTACTTTATCTTATGATTAATTCTGTTACATGTCCGACGCTGGCGCACGCGGTAGCGTAGTTGGTTGGGGCACTATGCTACAAGCCAGAAGGTCGCGGGATCAAATCCCGATGAGGTAGACTTTTTCTATTTACCTAATCCTTCCAGCCGCACTATGGCCCTGGGATCGGCTCAGCCTCTAATAGAAATGAGTACCAGGAATATTCTTGGGGATAAAGGGCGGCCGGCGCGTAAGGCTGACAACGTTACCGCCATCTATGAGCCGATTGTCTAGAAAAAGTGGGAACCTCAACATCTCACAACCCTATGGGCCTCCACGGCCTGTTACAAGGATACCTTTACTTACTGTTTACTTTTTTTACATGTCCGGTTATAACCTTTAGAAAAAATGTGTTCAGCGAAGCAGTCTATAATAACAGTTTTGTCGTCTGTTTTCAAGCTGTGAAGGCTAACATCATCACAAATTCGCAGCGATATAAACATTTGAAAAACTAAGAAAAATTAAACTTTCTATGACCAACTGGTCATCTCTGCTACCCTGTGACTCCTTGGTTATGAGACAGGTCAAAGGTGAAGTTGTTATATGTCTGAAGACGCATGGGGGGGGGGGGGNTATAGTTCAACCTTTTTTCACCTCGTTACAAGATAGAGGAGAATAGTCAGCTACACGCCCTGGCCGCTGTACCCCCGTACCCACTGGATAGGAAGCTGAGTGAGCCCTAGAGCTGGTCTGGACGCTGTGGAGTGAAGAAATCTCTTGCCCCTGCCGGGAATCGATCCCCGGCCATCCAAGCAGTAAATTGTCGCTATACTGACTGAGCTATCCCGGCTCCGGTTTTGAGACAGGCTTATCTGGATTAGGATAATAAGTATTTCAGTAGAGCTGAATAGCTGTCGGTTGGTAAAAAAAACTAATAAAAGACATAAAATGACGCAAATCAAATCATACCCTCAGCCCAACATCTGTAACAACGGCAAAGAATATTTTGTGGTCAGGTAATGTAATCGTAAATATAATTACGATTAAGAATTTGTGGAAATGTTATTGGACAAGGAAAATGTTACCTTGAAGAATATTAGAATGATGCAAACTCGCAATAAGCCCTTGCGCCACAGGTGCCCCCCTTTATTAACGAGGCAACGTCTAGGAAAACCAAATCATACCAATATTATTTAAGCGACGCCATCCCGATGATATTCAGATCGATTTGTGTGGCTTCATTATTATGTAACTTGTGAAGATTAAATTTAAATCATGTTCTGCTGCGACTAGAGCCATTTCCAGCCAGGAAATTATTAATACTGTGATATGTCGCCTGAAAACCGGAAGAGTCCATTGTTAGACAACTGCCCGCTAAGGTGCGTATCCGTAACAACGAATAGGCACGCAATAATAGAGGAACTGTTAGAGAAGTGATGTATATTCGGTTCGCCTAGAAGTTATGTAAGGGGGAAGGCGCGTCCACATTACTCGTGTTCGTGTGACTCGCTATGCTCGCGAGTAATTTGGATTATATGACAAGTCACGAGACATGCAAGTTTTAAATTTTTAATTTAAAAACTATAGCCAATAAATTAAAATATGACTACAGCCTATACACACTACGAGTGAATATACGAATCCTCACGCGCCGAAGCCTGGCGAGCAACTGAAGTAGTGTGGACGAAGATTTACGAGTACAAGTAAAAGCGAGACGAGTCTCCCGACGAGCACAAGCCTGGCGAGCACGAACACGAGCACGAGTAATGTGGACGCTCC